ATAAAGCCGGGAGTCTTTAGTCCACATGAGTTAAAACATAATCATAACAGTAACTTATCTCTTATCTACTTCTAACCACAGTCATCCACAGATCTCTTTTGCCAAATAGTAATATTGTTCACCCAAAAAATTATCTACCTACCTCCTCCACTTCTTCTTAAAAAGAAACAGAGAAGAAAAAAACAAAGTTCTCCTCAAGGCTCTCCTGTGTCTCCCCCCCACAGCCATGCACATAGCCAAAATCCAATGAAAACATAAATCATTCTCACAGGCCAGTCTTCCTGTTGCCACCCATATCCTGAGCCACCCAGGCCCTTCCTACCGTTCTCATTTTGCTTTATCTGAGACTTGAAACCCTGGGCAGGGATCCTTTCTCAGTGTGAAAGACAATAAAATATTAAGTATAGTGAGTCAATAACACAATGCCAGAAGCCCAAGTAACTCTCAAAACAGACCTAAGTCCCTAAATCAATACCACATACCCTGGACACAAATACCCTCACCATTCTCTCTTCCTCAACCCAGGAAAAGCTGCACTGACAAGAATAATCGCTTATTCAGGAGATCTTACACGGGCCAGATGACAGAAGAAAGTAAAGCTTCTACAGACCTTCCATGGGGAATAGTATAAATTGCTACAACCTTTAGAGCAGGTAATTTGGAGATATATATATTTCTAAATATATTCCCTGTGATGAAGCAAATTCTTTATTATATGCTTTTCAAGGTTCCTGCCATGTCTTGTTTTCCTAATCCTTGTTCCATCTGTACATGCCCATTTCCAGGTTGCCATCTGTATTCCCCACAGCCCTAGAAAGCCAGAGGGAAGGAGAATGCACGTCACATTAACCAAATAATCCTGACACCAAGCACATGTGTGCTATGGGGGAGGCACCAAACATTTCAAGTATACAGACACTGGGGACTACAAGTATCCTGGAATATTTAAGTGTTTGGATGATTATTTAAGGTTTTGAAATACTTTAAATATAAGAAATGTTATGGACCACTCTGTCTGGTTCTAGGAATTGTATCTCTATCCCTTGTGGCTAAGGACAAGGAATGACCTTTGGAATGCGAGTCTCAGGAGACAAAGCTTGCCTCTGGTAGCAAAAGCTGCCTCAGTTTCCTCTCCCTGCCCCCAAAGCTCGGTTGGAAGTCAATGACGGGTAAGATCCCTAACGGCGGGGGGCAACCTAAGCCAGACTCAGTCACCTGGGAGGGCATCATGGAAGGACTCAGGGGGCTGCAACAAAGAGCAATAGACTCTCCCCCCTGGTCTTGACAAATCCTGAGTCCCCATGTTCTCTGGGAGAAGCTCTTCCTGGCTTTAATCCCCTTAAGCCTGAATACCTGATGGGGAGGGGTGCAGCTCCTTGCCTTGCTAGAGCGTGTCCTGGGGAAAAATCTGGCATCACAGAGACTTCCTGATAAACCTGTGAAATCTTCTCTGCTAAGAGTGCTTTCATTCATATGTTAAGAGTTCGAGCAGGAAACCCTAAAACCCCCTTCCTGACAGACTCAGACTCATAGTAAGCCCTCAGATTTCTTTGAAATGTTATCTATTGTTTGATCCTTGCTTCCCTGTATTCCTGTGTATTACAACCCAATAAAAACCCCTGGAAGAGGGGGCTCAACGCCTTTTTCCCCTGAGAAACTGTCATTGTTCACAACCTTTTTCCTCTGGGAAACTGGCCACCTCTCCTCTGGAAGCAGATCACATCATATCTCTGTCATGTTCACTCTCATCCATGGCGGCTGGGGGGACTTTCGAGGAAAGTCACCCCCACAAAGAAACAATTAAGTAGCTAATAAAGGACTGGTTGAGTAAATTAGGCTATAGATATAAGGGTGGATACTATGTAGCCATTGAGAACTACATTGTATCACTGTGGTTTTAAGGTGCTCCAGGAGCCCCGAGGGGCTACTGTCCATGTCCTAGGATACAACGACTCAGGAACTAAGAAGAGTCCCCACACTGCTGACTCACCAGAAGCCAATCTAGTGAGGAGACAAAAATCCAAGTATCCCCAACAAAAGCCTGTTCAGAGCAAGACCAACTCTTTTGCCTGGGCAGAGTGAGAGGAGAGAAATAGGGGAGAAATGGGAGAAAGAGACAGGGTCTTGCCCCCTCAATATCCCATGTTCAGTCCAACAATACACCAGTCCTCTTTTCTGTCCCCAAAACAAGTTTAAAAGTCACACTCACTATATTAGCACAAATAACATAGAGTTGGTTCTGGGGTAACAATATTCAAACATGACCAAGATGAGGGGAAACACACAGTGCTCCAAGCAAAACACTGAACAGCAACATGAGAACAAGGTATTCAGGAGATTCTGTCCTAGAAGAAAAAGGAACACTCAAGCAAGCACAGGAAATTCTCACAAATGCTTCATGCTCTCAAACAACATAAGAACAAGAATAAAATGAGCTAAGAGGTGAGATGGTGAAATTACAGAGATGAAAGGGAAGATTAGAGACCTAAGGAAATGAATCGAGGATCAAGACAACATGACAACAAAATTAATAGTAACTTTAAAGCAGCAAAGTGTGGAACACACATCTAAAAACTGAATTATTAACTCAGAGGAAAGAGTTATGAACAGCATGGAGAGTGCAACTGAAAATGACAGATAAAGAAAATCAGCAAGCACTGAAAAGCAGACCAAATCTATCCACCATAAAGTATTTTTAAAAGATTTTATTTATTTAACTTTTTTATTGTTAAGTACAGTTGTCTCCATTTTCCCCCTACCACTCCCCCAACCCCAGCCATCGCACTGTCCACCCCTGATCCTAATCCCCCCTTTGGTTTTGTCCATGTGTCCTTTATAGATGTTCCTGAAAACTCTTCCCTCTTTTCTCCCCATTATCCCCTCTCAAATCCCTTCTGGTTACTGTCAGATTGTTCTTAATTTCAATGTTTCTGGTTATATTTTGCTTCCTTGTTTGTTTTGTTAATTAGGTTCTACTCATAGGTGAGATCACAACATGAAGTACTCTTGATGTGGAGAATTTAATAAATGGAATATGCACTTAAAATATAATACATACACAGAATCATATAAGAAAATTCCTGAATTAAATAAATAAATCTGCATATTGAACAAGCACATCGAGTTCCAGAAAAATTTAACACAATGTCCTCAAGAAAGTAACAAATCATAACCATGTTACTAAACTTCAACAATAAGCACACAACCCAAAAGGGGGAATAGAATCAGATCAACCTGAGGTTTTTCCCACTGCCATGTTAAACACTGAAAGACACCAGAGCCACAGCCAACAAGCTCTAATATATGGCCAGAGACCATCATAGCCAGCCATGGTGTCATCCAAGTTCAAAATCAAGGGACAAATATTCGCAAATATGAATTATTATTATCGGAGGAAGACAACAAGAATCTAGCCAATGAAGAGATGAGCCTATATAAAATATACCTGAGTGGAATCATTAATTTAATTTAAATAGAAGACTGAGTCAGACAATGATGGAAAAAGTCTGGTTCAGAACAGAATGAAATTATAACACAAAATTAATAACGGAACTTTTCAAAACAAGAAATCAGAGAAGCCAGGGAGGAGAAGAATGCTGGCTTCCTTGTCCTTTGGAATAGGGAGTTGGTGAACACTGCCAACACTGAAACTTTCTTCTAAAAAGCCACAATTCTAACTTTGTAATGCTTTCAAAAATATCGCGCGTAAATGAACTGTTTAGAAAATAAGTTCTCTCATGTTAAACATTTATCTGAAGTTAATATTTCTTTAGCTTCACTGTTGCTTTGCTTTTATTGAAATCAAGTAAAACCTTAATACTTTTATGAGAAAATAGCACTGTCAAACAAGCTGCATTTTTATAAAGGCACTTCTATCCTTCTCCATAGCTATCCTTGTACTGTCTAAATGCATTATAAAACTGTCAGAAATGATGGGAGCCCAGTATGACCAGAGGTCACCTGAAATAGCTAGGATGTGGAACCAGGGATCATTTCTGCTTTGTGCCTTTCAATGTTAATTGTTGTCTTTATAGTGAACATGCACCATTTTTATCATTTTATGCAAATACAAACTAAGTTTGTCTTAATTTAAAAAACAAAACATAAAGAACTCAAAAGGAAACATGCTGATATGTTAACAGCAGTTAGTAATAGATGGTGTATATAGATGATAATATTCCTCTTTTTATGTTTTTCCCTGAAAAAAGAATCCAATATTACAAAAGAATGTGAGGTGACAATGCAAGTCTACAGTAGTATTTTAAAAGAAAAAGCAAAACCAAAGAAATTCTGTGTATATGCAGAGATATAGACAGAAGAGTGATTCACAATGGATAAAGGGTTATAGATGATTTGTTTTTCCTTTTATCTGACCTATTTTTTAATTTCTGGAAAGTGAACACTTACTATTTGTGTAATAAAAAAGGTATCTCTTCATTTTGGTTTTTAATAAAAGGGCCTTCTCAGATGAGGATTCCTGGCTTCTGAGACACTTGAGTGGTGAGGGGGAGCACTGGTGGGTGCCTACAGGAGGGACTGACCCCGAATGGATAGGATGAGAAGGGATACCTAAATTACCATAGTGCCTAGCAGCCAATAATTCAATGCACATGTGGAACAAGGGAGTGTGGGCTGCCCCATGTCAGACACAGATATTTTCCCCATCACAATAGATATATGCACCTAGGATCACGTTTAGGTTAGACACAAGAGTAAGAAGCAAATGGCTCAATTCATAGTCAACAATATACAGCAGCCTGGAACAACATACCACTCAAAAGCCTGGCATGCCCCAGGTAAGTTGTCCAAGCTTATTGCACTTATGTACTTTTGATGATTTAAAAAAAAAGAGTTCAAAAGATCAGATGAGGCTCTCGAAGGAGTTACCTTCAAGCTCCACTAGCATGCATGCTCAGATCTTAAGGTTTGAAGATTCCAACTGGAACAAAAATCACCCCTGGCTATGGCCCAGTAAACATTGGATCCAGTCAGGAACTTACCACATGCTATAGGAAAATAAACCTGGGACCCAGGAACTTGAAGCAGAATTCGAAATGGAGCCACCCGTGCACTGGAATCCAGCACTGCGTCTAGAGCACCTACCAGGCGACCTTCAAAAGAAAGAAAAGAAAGGGCGCCTCTAAGTACAAGGACTAACTCAGCCAAGCAGCTAACCTACTCAGATTTCGTATTAAAGTAGTAGCCCCTTTATCCAGCAGATGGCTTTTAAAACCCCTCAATCATTTATAATTCAGAAGCAAACCAGTAAAAAGGCAAAAACTAAGCAGCCTAAGGTATAATTGTTACACAAAACCATGCACCCTTTCCTCCTTTTAAAGTCATTAAAAGGGACAGATCAAGATTGTTGTAGGGCATGAGGTGTACGGGCAGTTGGAGCCTAAATAACATGAGGAAGGCACCCGCCAGGGAGGGAACAGTGGTAGCAACAGAAGGATTAATCAGATAAGTGAATATATTAAGAATAACAGCAGTCAGGTTTCTCAGTGTTGGAAAAAGAAGTTGCAAATATGGAAAGAAACTAGAAGGAACCTCGTGGCATTAAGATAGCAGTTGGACATACTAGACCCAGTTGGAGGTTAACTCATTTTTATACAGTAGATTTGTATAAAAAGAAAAATAGGCAACATGTCAATGAATACGTCTGTGTACACATGATGCATACATATATACATAACAGACATATAGTCCCTAGCTCTGTCCACTGAGAGTTTCTCCAAGCAAGCATCCTTTTAGCAGTGAACACAACTTGCTCCCAGATTTTGGCTTTTAAATACCATTCCTTATATCCTGACTGGTGTGGCTCAGTGGTTTGGGCTTCATGCTGAAAACCAAAAGGTTACAGGTTTGATTCCAGTCAGGGCACATGCCTAGGTTATAGCCCAAGTTACCTGTTGGGAGAGTGCAAGAAGCAACCGATCAATGTTTCTCTCACACATCAATATGTTTCTCCCTCTCTTGCTCCTTCTCTCTCTCTAAAAATAAATAAATAAAATTTAAAAACAAATAAGTACCATGCCTTATTGGAGGAACCAGTGCTCCTTGGAAAAATGGTCAAGGGCTGGAGCAGGAAAAGTACAAGATGAACTTGTATTATTTTATTCTACCAGGAAGTATAAAGAATAAAGGAGACATGTCCAAAGGATACAGAAGGCAACTTGAAGGGGCTTCCACTGGCCAAATATTACACAATTTGAGCATCAAGTATGTTCTCATGGAGTTAAACTGGAAATTAATAACAGAAAGATCACTGGAAAATCCCCAAATATATAGAGATTGATCACACTTCCAAATAACACCTGGGTCAAAGAAGTCTCAAGAAGAGCTTTTAAATATCTGAACTTAATAAAAATGAAAGTGCAACTTACAAAAATATACGTGACTGAACGAAAGCAGTGAGTAGAGGGAAATTTTATAGCAATAGATGCATAAAGAAGGAACTAAATATCAGTAATATAAGTTTCTTCTATAGGAAATTATACGAAAAAGAGTAATTTGATCCTAAAAAAGGAGAAGGAAAATCATAAAAATTGAAAAGAATCAATAAAATTGAAAACAAAAATATAAAGAAAAAATAATAAAAATATAAAGAAAAATTAATCAAAAGCTGTTTCTTTGAAAAGATCAATTAAATTGATAAACCTCTATTTACACTAATGTAAAAAATTGGAGAGGAGCTCCAACTGCTAATATCAGAAATTAAGGAAGGGAGTCATCACTATTAATAGTAAAAGGATAATAAATACAATGAATGGCCCAGGCTGAGTAGCTCAGTTGGTTTAAGCATTGTCCCCATAAAGCCAAGGCTGTAGGTTTGATCCCCAGTCAAAGCACATAAAAGGACCAATGAATACATAAACAAGTGGAAAAATAAATTGATGTTTCTTTCCCTCCAAAATCAATAAATTAGAAAAAAAGATAAATACTATTAACAACTCCGTGCCACAAATTTGATAACTTACATGAAATGGACCAAATCCTTGAAAGACACAAATTACCAAAACTCATACAAGGAGAAATAAACCTTTTAAATAAGCCTATACTATTTTAAAAACTGAACCAATTAGTTGCCTGCCAAAAAATAAAAAAGAGAAAACACCAGGTATAGATGGTTTCAATGGTGAGTTCTACCAAATGTTAAGGAACACATGAAAATAATCTCCATAATCTCTTCCAAAAATCAAACAAACAAAAGCAGACAGAACACTTCCTACCTCATTTTATAAGACCAGCATTATCCTAATACCAAATCCAGATAAAGATATTATAATAAAGGAAAACTACAAACTAATATCTCCTGTGTAAAAATCCTCAATAGCTCTGGCTGGGTGGCTTAGCTGGTTGAAGCATCATCCTGTACATCAAAAGAGTGCAGGTTCAGTTATTGGTCAAGGGTACATACAAAAGTTGTATGCAGGTTCAACCCCGATTGGGATGTGTACAGAGGCAACTAATTGATGTTTCCTCTTACATCAATGTCTCTCTCTCTTTCCACCTCCTCCTCCTTACATCACCCCCCTCCCTCCCTCTCCTACTCTCTCAAAGACTGATGAACATGGCATCAGGTGAAAATTCCAAAACAAAAAAAATCCTCAATAAAATATTAGCTAACTGAATCCAATAATATACAAAGAGAATTATACACCATGAACCAATGGGACTAATCCAGGTATGCAAAACTGGTTCAATATTTCAAAATCAATCAAGGTATATTATATATATCACATCAATAAGCTAAAGAAGAAAATCACATAATCATATCAATTCATGCAGAAAAACCATTTGGTAAAATCTAACACCCATACATAATTTTAAAAAACTTTACCCGGACGAGAAATCAAGAACTTCTTTAGCTTCAAAAGGCATATCTACAAAAACTCTATAGATAAGATGATATTTAATAATGACAAACTGGATACTTTCATGCTAAGATGAGGAACAGAAATAAGTATTCAACATCATATGAAAATGGTAGCTAATGCAGTAAGACAAGAGGAGGAGCCCTACCCTGTGTGGCTCAGTTGGTTGAGCATCATCCCACAAAGTGAAAGATCACCAGTTTAATTCTCAGTCATGACCTAGATTTTGGGTTCAGTTCCTGGTCAGGGCCCATTTCAGATGCAACCAATTCAGGTTTCTCTCTCCTTCCCTTCCCTTCCCCTGTCTCTAAAAATAAATTTAAAAATTATTAAAAAAGAGGAGGAAATAAAAGGTACATAGAAGGAGAGAAAGAAATAAAACTGTGTTTGTTCACAGATGACACACTTGTCTTCATGGAAAAATCCAAAAGACTCACCACCATCAAAAAAATTTACAGAATTAGGGGAGATGGGGCCGGGGGGGGGGGGTTGGGATGGGAGAAATTGACAAAAGAAAACTGTACTTGAAAAATAACTAAATAAATTTTAAAAAATTAAAAAAAATTTACAGAACTAATAAGTAAGTATAAAAAGGTTGTAGTACACAAGATTAACCTGACAATTACTTTCCTACATACCAGCAATGAGTAATTGGGACTTCAAAAAAAATTAACACCACTGATAATAACAAATGAGATTTTTAGTAGGTGGAATTCAAAAAAACAAGATGTGTAGGATCTAGACACAAAAAACTTTTATCGATTTCTTGATAAAGAAAATCAAAGACTCCTCCTTGCCAGAAGGGATGCTGCCTGATTCTTGCAAGAGATGCAAGACTAATGGATTACTTCATAAGCCAATTACATCTTCAAATTTACTCAGTTGAACTTTTTTTTGACAGCTGTTACTGTGATCATTAAGCATGAGTAGGTGGGAGCTATGAACACCAGTACACTGCTGGTAGAACAAACCCACCAACAAAGGAACCACCAACAGAAATAATGAAAGAAGGTGAAGGAGGGAGTGGAAGCCACACTAACAGCAAACCACCACCAACCTGCAAATACAATTAAATGGTGGAGAAATTACCCAGATAAATCAACTGAATAAGAGCAAGAGACAAGACTCAAAACCTCATACACACAGAAGAAACAGCTTCAACACAACCTGTCCACACCTGCACAATAGCCTACAAGACATGGTGGATGGAGTAAGCCTCAGTTAACAAGGTGGAGGAAAGGACCCACCAAAGACAGAACTAACAACAATCAAATCCCAAAGACATACAGAGAGCCAACATAAATGACAGCCCCAGACCAGCTCAGAAGATAAAGACTGCACCACTGAATCTCACAAGTCTTCTACCATAGAAGTTCACACTAGAAACAAAGGAAATCAGGACAGATCAATTTAAGAAACAGAAGCTAACAAGAAGAGTCTCACAAATAATGGGAAGAAAAAGAAACAATCCCCGAATGAAAGGAAAGAGGAAGCCTCAGAATTAATGCTAAATGAAACAGAGGCAAGTCAACTATCAGGTACTGAATTCAAAGCACTGGTTATCAGGAAGTTCAAAGAGCTCACAATGAGCTACAAGAAACTAAAGGGGAGCTACAATGAACTCACTGCAAACTATATCAACATGAAAGAGAAAATAGAAACTATCAACAAGAGCCAAGAGGAAATAAAGAATACAAGTTCTGAACTGAAGAACACAGTGAAAAGGATCAAAAGCAGGATCAATGAGGCAGAAGATTGGATCAGTGAGCTGGAAGACAAGGTAGAAAAAAAAAGAGATACAGCAAGAAAAGGAAAAGAAGATCAGAAAATACAAAGGAGGATTAAGGAAAATGCAGGACAATGTAAAAGGTAATAATATACGTATAACAGGGATACGAGCAGGAAAAGAAGAACAGCAAGGGATACCAAACCTATTTGAAAAACTAATGATAAAAAACTCCCCTATTTTTGATGAGAGAAAAAGTCACACAAATCCAAGAAACAAGAGTGTCCAAATCAAGAGGAACCCAAAGAGGCCCATTTCAAGACACATCATCATTAAAATGGCAAAATTCTAAGACAAAGACAGAATCTTAAATGAAGCATGGCAGAAACAGGAAATAACATACAAGGGAGCCCCAATAAGGTTAGCTGCTGACTTCTCAATGCAAACATTCCAATCCAGAACAGAATGGCAAGAAATGCTCCAAGTAATGAGAAGGAGAGGCTGGCAA